ATCGCCAGAGAAAAGAAGAGTGAGGAAAAGCATCGGGGCGGACAGAAAAAAAGTTTGACATTTTCTACGGCCTGCTTGATGATGGTGCGGCGGCGGTGGCGACTTGCTCGTTGTTCCAGCAGATAGCTAGCAAGTAGAAGCGGTTTTCGGTGGACTTCGTGTCGCTCGTTCGTTCGTTTAGCTGCCCGCTCTTTCTCTCTCGGTCTGTGACTCGTCGGTTGCTCTCTGTGATTAATTTTATTTATTTTTTTTATTTTTATTAATGATATACGCACACCGAAACGTGAGGAAGGGAGAAAGATAAGCATCAGGAATGCGCTCCCGGATGTATTGATTTGGTGAGTATGTTCCAGTTAAAGATTGTTTGATTGACGCGAAGGGGAATTATTGACAATAATATTGATGATGTGAATTCAGAAATATTGTCAATCTCGATATATTGACGTCAATATAGAATGTATTGACAATACGATTATTGTCAATAAAAGTAATCGTGTAGGGTCCACTTTACACATTTCTCGATTGCATTTTCGAGGGGACGTGTCTGCTTTTGTGGGCAGTGCGTTTGGTTGTCGGTTTGGTGTGGTTGGTGGCTCGCCCGCGCGCTGTGGCGCCGCCATCAGGTAGGGGAAAATTTCTTCTATCTGATGGTGGTGTTGGCATGCGTGGGCGGGATGCTGGTTGCGCCAGATTGACGATGGGATGCATTGTTTGCGGGAGTGGATGCGTCCCTTCTGGGGAGTATTCGAGATTTATGTATGTTCATCGTTCATCGTTTCATTTATCAGAGTGATGACCACGGTCGCATGATGCATGTTCCTCGGCTTTTTACCGTTAGGTGTATACGAATAATTCACTATGATTTTATTTCCATCTTGATATAGTTTGAGTTTGAATACATCCTAGGTCCTATTATATTATTATTAAATATTCATTGATAAATATTTATAACAGGGTCAAAACACAACTGGAAGAAGCAACGTAACATCATTTGATTTTCTCTAATGTATGTTTAACGTTTATATGACAGTGAAATTAATCATTTAATTTTTCCTTTCCAGGATAGAAAGTTACATAACTTATTGATATATTTATTTGTATATTTGTAAATACTTATTTAATCAAATTCTGAATATGAGTGACGAGGAAGCTTATTGTGTTCGCGAGCCCTCCGTTTAGGCTGGACGCATTGATTTAAATCTTTAAGTTTATTTTCAGCTCTTCGACATTTTTAGATTTTTATTATAATGATTCACTATTTTCAGCCTTCGTTCAGGAAAATACAAAAAAATATTGGAATGCATGATTACAATTGCATAAAAACTGTTAACTGTCCAAATAACCTCGACTTTTCTGACTATTGATGCATTATGAAAGTTTACCAATATTTTAAAAAAGCATTCCATATTGCGTTAAGAAATTCCATGGTGCATAATAGGGTGTTTGTTTCAATTCCAATAAAATATCAAAAGTTGAAATCAGTTGAATGTATTGAGGTTAACTGAAATCGAGCTTATTTGTATTTTGTAATACTTGTTTATTTAACATTATTTTATATATTGCATGACTAGTAAATTAGTTTTATTTCACATTTTTAAAATCTCATTATATCACTATATAACTATCATTATATAACTATAATTTTCATTTCTAGAAAAAGTTGTCCTGTAGATCCTGAAGGACCAGAAGGTGTATCAAATAGCTTATCATTGTTATTTACTTTTTATTTTATTATAATATAATATGAATTTGGCCGGTTGATTTTGGTGCAGCTCCACTTGGTTATTTGGCTGAGATCATTCCTTTTTATTTATTTATACAGTAACCCCTCCCTATCGTTTAAACATCAATTCAGCTTATCGTTTACCAAAACGAACCTTGCTGCAAACCCTACCCTCTTACCCAACATCCCAGTGACTCCTCGTGGAAGTGCAGAGGATTTCTCGGCTTCCATCAAAGCGAGTGTCACGTCAACACATTCCTACCCATTCCTTTCTTGACCTGCGTTCAGGCGCGGCTGGCGCTGGTATTGCCTAATTTGAGATCACCAGTTTTTACACATTGAGGATGATTGCTAGTCCCAAGCATCGTCTATTGGTTCTCTGTGTAATTACAGCTGATCTGGCAATAACAGAGTAGCAACCGTGGGCGGTCAATCATGCTCATGCTCATGCTCATGATGATGACGCGCTTGGTGAAGATGACCCACAGAGGCGTATCGCACAAAAAGCAACTGTACCCGAAAAGGCAGTGTTGCTTCTACACTACTTCTCTGGCTGGAGCGCTCTTGCAGGCAGCCTTGGTGCGGGGATTCTTCCTCCGGTCGGCATATCGTATGTGTTGAGCTGCTGCGTGATGAATGATACGAACACGTCCAAAGTTCGAATGGAAATGCGGCTTCGGCTTGTTTCGTTTGGTACCAACTATGTGATGTCTCTGTTAGGACAGACACCTTGTGGTCTAAAAAAATGTATGAGAAAGTTTGACGCTTCCAATTTTCATTAAATTTCTAAGTTGTTTAAATATTTTCACAATTTGTAATATATGCCAAAAAATTGCTAGATAATTTCCCTGTTTAATGGCATATTTCATGACATATTTCTTGTGAATGCTTTGGAGGAATATACATTTGAAACACCCCCATTTTCATTACATGCCTCATTTTCGATTTATTAAAGTCCCAAAGACCCCCAGTATAGTAAAGAAAGACGTAGTCTTACGTCAATAACACTCCTCCACAAATTCGTGCATAGAACTGGTTCAGTAAACTCAATTCAGTTCAGAATTTCAGTCCGCATCGTGCTTTCTTGCCGTGCGGATCTATTTTCTTTTTGCTGAAGGAAGTGTTACTACTACCAAAAGCTACAACAAATTTAAACAGCACTTTTCAGTGGTCAACCTGTAAAATTTCTACCTTGTTCAACTCTTATTCCTCTTCGATCCTTGTTTAGACCCTACCCGGAGTAATCCTGGTTGGATATCGATTTGGAAAATTCCTTTTCGATCCTACGGATTATTATAGTAATCTGCTTGGAAGTCGATTTGGATAAAAAATTACTACCGCCATGGCGCCTAAACGCAAAAGAAAAGGTAAATCTCTTGATCCTCCTTCTGATGAAATTTCTTTGAACCATCAATATGCTCTGCTCACGGGTGATGGTAATGATCCACGCAAAATTCCACTAAACTTTCCCGGTTTAATGTCAAGAAGGAAAAAGTTTCCCCCTATTGTGATAACCACTTCCGTTTTTCATGCTCTTCGTGCGGAACTTTTGAACTTTGTTCAATTTAGGTTTTCGTTTCAAATTGGCCGTGAGGGTGAATGCCGTGTATTGGCTGAAACCTTGGACGGATTCAAACGTCTTCTCAAGTACCTAACTGAGTAGCAACACAAATGTTTCACTTACGACACCAACACTGAATGTGGCGAATCCCTGGATCAGATCAAAGATGAATTGAAAAAAATTACTTGGAGTTGAGCCACTCCCCAAGTAATCAAAATGAAAATCAAATCCCGTCCTGGCGATTCGTGCAACGGGATTTCTAATGATTTTTATTTAGTTCACTTCAAGTCTAGTGAACCAAACAAGTGGTGAAGTGGGAACACTTCAGGAAGACTGGTGGAAATTTCCAAAACCTCACCCAGTGCTGAAAGTGCCATGGATGGGGTTAACGGAACAAAAAATTGCTACATGCCAGCTAAACGCATGAATTGTTGAGAATCCTCTCACGCAAAGGACGACTGTCCTGCGAAGGAACATCCTAAGGAATTTAAATGTTCAAATTGTGGTGAAAACCTCAAATCCAATTTTTGGGAATGTAAGACTTGCCCCGTACCCGTACCCGTAGGTACAAATATCACCCCTGCTTCAAATTCTTCATCTATACCTGTTCCCCTCGCTGCTAACAATGTTCAGCGAGGAAATAAGGCTACATATGCTGCTATTGCAACCGGGTAGAAATCAAAATACTAGCCACCATAATTCTAATGGAAATTTTGACTTAGGAAGCATTACTGCTCATAAAATAGAATTTTACAGAAATCATTAATTGACATGATTACTGATATGCTAAAAACTAACTCCATGTTTGATGCTATTCAAACTGGAGTTAAATTTGCGAACCATATCGTCACGATTTTGAAATTCAGTAATGGATTTAAAATCATTAAATATTTTGAATTGGAATGCTCGATCTCTTAAAGGTAATAAAGAAAAGCTATGTAACTTTTTGAGACTTAATAACGTGCATATTGCCGTTATAACTGAAACGTTCCTTAAAGCTGGCCATAACATTAAAAGGGACGCAAATTATTTCATGTATAGAAATGATCGTCTTGATGGAGCCTGTGGTGGCATTGCTTTGGAAACTAAATTTAAGGCTCAATTTACTTTGATGCATTTTCGAAAAATGCAAATGCCGTTTTTTTCGACGCATCATTTCAGATTGCAAAAAGCTCGCGTCATTTTGTGTAAAATAGCCTAAAGAATAGAATGACACGAGTTTTGTGCAATCTGAAATGATGCGTCGAAAAAATTGCATTTGAATTTTTCGAAAATGCATCAAAGTAAATTGAACCTTAAGGAGTACACCGCTGAACAAAGCTAAACAGGATATGTGACTTGGATAAAGAAGAAAAACAACCAGAAAGCTGGTAGATGTCGACCTATTGCAGCTCACTTTCAAGTCAATTTAACACCACTACCGGTTAAGTTGAATTAACTTGAACCGTATATTTGAACCTTTACAGTAGAAATATTTTTATCGAATCAAAAATAAAAACTTTTGTGAAGGGTTATTTTTTAATCCATGACTGTCCAAAAATTAAAACTAATGGGAACCGATTAACATCATCTCTAGCGATCGACCAATCGCTGCCATCACCACTCAAGGATTCCTGTAAATTAAAATTGAAATTCCTCAATTATTCAGTGCAATATCCTTTATTTCTAAAACTTGTGCAACATGCCATAAATAAAAAAAGATCCAAATCTAAAATGAACAACACTGCAACTGCGGTGATGTTGGACGGAATGAGATCACGTGTTGGTAGTACAAAATGCAACATCTACGTATACTGAGGAATTGCTCAAGCATTGCAAAAACGAGCAACTACCCAACTAGGCTATCTTCAGGTGCTCTACAAAATGGGCAATAGCCTTTCTGCAAAAATTGTAACTCAAAATCCTCTGAATGGAATGCATTGTTACACTCTGGACAAACGGTTATCTGCAGCTCGGGAAGCAGATTCCTATAGTAGCGGGTAGCCAACGGTTTAGGACCCTTAATGATGATGACCTCCCGTGGATCAATCGCTCGAAGAGCATCACGGTCCATAGTAGATGGAAATGTATCCATAATATCCTAAAACCGGGATAAACCATAATTTTGGAGAGCAACTTTGACAATAATGCTTTTACCTCGTGAATAAACTGATCCGGTTGTCCAAAATCATTCATCTTTGGTGGAGCTAACAGAAGCCTCTCAGTCTCTTGGTCGGTTATACCACCGTCCGGGCTGAACTCCGCTAAAGGTAGAATCTCGAACGATACGTAAGAAAATACGTACTCTTGATGACAATTGGGACAGCGATTTCCATGCAGATGGGGGCTGTAGTTCGAACAACGGTAGCACATGGGCAGGTACTCTTCCGGATCGTTAAATCCACCCGGACACGCCCGGCTGGTGATGTAGCTGATGTCCACCTGTTCTTGGATTCCGGGTGGTGGCTTCAACGACTGCAGTTTGTTATTGATTTGAAGATGAAGCTTGTTGGCTCCCAGTACTTTTGCTTGCTTGGACAGGGTGTAGTAGACAGCACTGAAATAGATGATGTTTGATATATGACATAAATAGCTGTGCATATGATTTACACTTACAAAAGACTGATTCCTTTGGGAGATGAGAGTCCATTGATTTGATTCACCACAAATCGACTGGTATTGAACAGCGTCAACGGAGGGCTACTGGTAAATGGCTCTTTCAAGTATGAATTCAGTGTACTGTAGGCATAGTATATGGAAGCAAGTTTCTGCAGTGATCTGTACTCAGCAATTTTCGATTCCAGTAGAACGGTTTCACCATCCAGTAGTTTGAGGACCTGCTTTGCTCTCAACCAGGTATAGTATCCCGCATCCAAGTAACGTTCTTCAGATACAGCACATTCCACCAGATTCCGTAGCAGTTTAGTAGCTTCGTTTGGCTTCCCAGCTAGTACGTACGCTTCATGAGCCGAAATGAATTGATCTGATTCTGCCAACCACTGAGCATGCTGATAATGTACCGTTGGGAGAATTTTCGGTAAATGTTCAGCTAAGCGAAAGGCTTCAGGCCAATCTCTGGCCTCCACGTGCAGTTGCACAACTTGTTCTTCTTCTCCAAGCTTACGATAAATTTCAGCTGCCAAAGGTAAAGCTTTCAACCTTCGCAAATGTTTCGCAATCAGCTCTAGTGGTTCTTTCTCTGCAGCATTCAAGCGTCTTCCGATATCCAACAGAACATCAGTCCATCCCTGCTCTGCCACGATTTCAATCGCTCGCTCGGACTCTCCAGCGGAAAGCAACAATTCAGCAGCTGCTCGTGGCTCATGGACAGAGCATGCCCACTCCGCACGTCTTCTAATGAGTTCCTTCTTGTCGGCAGCGCTGCCTTCTTTTAAAAATTCCTGAGCCAAGTCGAACATTCGTAAATCACTGTACATAGCCAACGCTTTGCTATTGTTGCCTGACTTCTGGTACAAACGAGCGGCTTCTTTGAATTTCCCATTGAATGCATAGGTATCTGCTAGGAGTACCTCCTTGGAGGTGTCGCCACGTTTCTGACGTTCCTTGAGATCGTTGATCAACTCAAGCCACGGTAAATTGCGTACCTTGACGTAGGCATCGCGAGCTACCTGGTAGTTGAGTGCCTCCAAAGCAGCTTGTGCCAAGCCTTCCCAGTCCGACAGTGGAACCCCCAGACAAGCTACCTGATAGGCGTCCCTGAAAGTTTATCGAATGAATTATTTATTTGATAATCACGATTTTATCCACGAAGATTGAAGATAGGGCTGAACAAATCAATGCTGAAAGGCTTTTAAGGAGTGGTAAATGTAAAGGTAAATGTAGACTGTACATTGTAGTAGAAATACGTATTTTTCATGGATACTAAAATTAAGTGGAATTAAATGGAAGATAACCTTTTTTGCTGTTTTATTTAAGCATTCCGCTAGCAACCCTATTTCATTACTTCATTGAATAACAATAATTTCAATTCACTTAAAGATGCAAATAATCAATCTGGAAAGGTCGATGATGCAGAAATATGGATTTATTGGGAACATAAAATCATACTAGGATGAGAAAGTACGGAAAAAGAACACACATATGAGAACAGAGCATACTTGATCACTAGGGTGAGTCAGCTTTACAAACCCCCAGGCATGGCAAATCATTTACATTTATTTCGTGCATTCATTCATTTACGTTCATTTGCCCCTAATTTTTCCATCAACAGAATTCCGTAAAATGATTTATGAGGCTTTTGTAGATTTTGCTATAAACTACAATTTTTGTAAATAACCTAGATCAGTAGATCTTGTGCATGACGAACTAGAGCGGGTAGAACTTGTTATCATTTTTCAGTGTCTGTAATTTACATTCACAGAAAAACAATGGTGGGTTCTGTTCGTTTTGGTTCATCATGCATAAGAGATACAGATTTGATTTATTCACAAAAATTGTAGCTAATATCAAATCCTACAAAAGTTTCATACGTCATTTTACAGAGTTATGTTGATGAAAAAAGTTAGAGGCAAATGAATGTTAGTAATTCACCATGCCTTTTCCCCCATCTCATTGTGGCAGAAATGTGAATGATTGTCCATAACAAACAATTATGCAAAATTTCAAGCAAATCGGAGAAGGTTGAGTCTGATTGATTCGCCATTTGACGCAGAAAGGGTTCTTTGTAGCAATGATTTTTGTCATCTAGGATGAACTATGTATCAACATTATGGGGTTGAGGGGATGAGTGCTTAAGCAATAGCAGCAATATTCAAATCTTCTACACATTGGTACTCTTTTAGAATAAAATCGAAGTTCTATCGTGATCGTTGAAAAGATTTTCATACAAAAACAACATTTGCCTTTTGGGGATGATTTCCGATATGCCCATAGACCATTACTTCATCTTCTCGGATAGTCTCAGTTCGATTGAGGCTATTCGGTCGATGAAACAAGGTAGGCACTCATCTTATTTCCTTTCAAAGGTAAGGGAGCAGATGAGTTTGCTGGTCGAAAGATCATATATGATTACCTTTGTATGGGTCCCCTCACATTGCTCAATCCCAGGCAATGAGAAGGCAGACTCTCTCGCAAAGGTGGGCGCACAACAAGGCGAGATTTATGATAGAAGAATTTCACATGATGAATTTTTCCCACTAGTACGTCAGAGTTCTCTTTTAAGTTGGCAAAACGATTGGACAAATAATTCTCTTGGGCGGTGGTTACATTCCATTATTCCAAATGTTTCTTCGAGAGCGTGGTTCAAAGGTCTGGCTGTAAGTCGGGGATTCATTCGAGTGATGTCAAGACTTATGTCCAACCACTACTCGCTAGACGCACATCTCTATAGAATAAACCTCGTTGACAGCAATATATGTAGGTGCAGAACCGGTTATGATGACATCGATCACGCAGTTTGGTATTGCCCGGGTAATGACGCCTCCAGAGCACAACTATTGGATACCCTAGTGGCCCGAGGTAGACAACCCTTCCGTGAAGTAAGAGATGTATTGGGAACACGTGATCTTCCCTACATGCAAGCGATCTACGAATTCCTTTGTTTGTCTGATGTTAGAGTTTGATGTGACTATCCCCTCCTTTCCAAACAATTTCCCGCCATTGTGTCCCAGTCTTATTATCCTCCTGTTCCTGTGCTACTTGCCCCTGCCCAGCCAGGATTTGGTCAACCGTCCGAGAGTAGTATCTGAAGGAGGCTTCAGAAACCAGTTTCCTACCTAGATCCTTCCAATTGAAATTGTTACCTATTAACCTCGAGCCCGCCACGAGTAATTGGTACCCAATACTAACCTAGAAATACTGCTATTTAAAATGTAAATCAAACATTACTGATTTTGGCTCCGTAAAGTGTCACACACGACTGAGCCTAGTAAATAAACGAACTAGTTAAAAAAAAAAATAACATTTGCCTTGCTATTTGCCTAAGCTATTCACTTGAAATGTATGTCCCGTTTCAAAAATTTAAAATCTTTCTACTTACTCAAACAATCCAGCTTCCACAAACTGCCACATGGTTGCTCCCAGCGCCAACGGAACATTACTCATCACATTCCCACGCAAACAGAATGCCGTTGCACCACACAAGCCCACCACCACTCCGAGCATAGACTGTGGACTTCTGGGCGGAAGTGATCCAACTCGTACGCTCAATCCTCCGGTGGTATGCGAGTAGCACAGCATCGACTCCAGGTGGGTGTTCCATGCGACTGAATTGACGTTGGAATCTTGGTACAGCATCGTGTCGCTTATCAAATCTCGAACCACCAACCGACCTGCATCGTCAACGACCGCCAATTTTGTTCTAGTAGCATTAAGATCGAGGCAGCGAACGGATGAAAGTACAGTTGTAACCAAAATCGGTAGGGAATTATCCAGGAAAATTCTCCAAACTTGACCACTTTTCAGGCCCAGTAAAAGCCCTTCGCAACCAGCTGGTCCTCCTGTTACTTTTATGTACCGTATGAAACTATCCATAATCCATTCCCGCTGCAGAAGGCCGTTAAAATCCAAGCTTTGTAGCTTCTTCTCCTGACACAGAACCAAATGCTGTGCGCATACAACCAACAGACTGCATTCAAACTTTTTAGCAATCTTCTCCTTAACTTTGTAGTGCATAGGTTGATTTTCTGCGGAGCTAAGCTCGTACAGAACGACACGCTCTGGCAATTGAACCGCCAGGCGGTTCCGATAGATTGCTATCTTATGTACCAGATCGCGACACTTTATACGAACTTTTTGCCCGGAAACCAAATGCTGAATAATCACATCGCACATATTTTCCCGAAAAGCGTACCGTTCACGATACAGAGCATGGACGGTATTGAACGCCAGACTGTAGCATGCCAGCGTCCCGTCTTGACATCCGACGACCTAAAAGAAAATTTTTATGAAAAACTGTTGGTAGGTATCTTTTCATAATTACAATCGAGTTCCCCATCGGATGAACGGTTGTAGCCCAAATCCATGACTCATGCTGCTCACCCAGCATTCCAAGCCGTATGCCATCGCGAGTGAATAGCTGTAGGGCTTTGTTGCAACCGGATATTATCAGAAACTCTCCATCGGGAAAGAAACTCAAGCACAACGGATCAAAGCTGAAATTTCTCTCCTTTCCAATCACCTGACCTCCAAGCGAATAGAAAGACAACGTTTGACTCCAATCGATGACGCAGAGAATATCCGCCGATCCACTGGCCGGAGGATTCCATGCCAACCCGAAAATTGGACTATTCACTCCACCTGGTCGTTCAATTTTAATCTTCTCCTCACCGGCTTTGTTGCGAATAGATATCGTCCCGCTGGCCATCCCCAGTGCCAGGTACTGGCCATCGTTTGTCCAAGCACAGGCATTCACTCGCGCTGCTGTCTTGTACTTTTGAACAGCCTTTTGCTCCGAGGACCAGAAGGAGAAATCCGTTACAGCACACGATGCCAACTGGTGGGATATGGGATTGAAGGCCAAACATTGAACCGAATCACCGTGACTGTGAACGACAAGATTGACACACAGGTAATATCGAATCCTTTCCAATATCAGCTGCCTACAAATACTTACGAATATTTAAGTAATCCTTCCAGCTTATTCGTCCAAATGATAACGGTTTTATCCGCACTGCCTGAGGCAAATTTCTTGCCATCACGGGCGTATGCCACACAGTGAACGGTATCCTTGTGACCCTTCAGCGAGCTTATGATATTTCCATCGACAGGATCGTACACCAACACCTTGTCGCCCGCTCCAACAATCAGCTGCAGTCCTTCCGGGTGGAAACATATCGAATGGACGCTACAAGAGACAATTATTGTTGCGCAACATCAGCCAACAAGGATATTGATTAATCGACCCCCAACAAACGACCCTTGCAATTTGCTATCCGCAGTCCTACCTGGCCACATCACTTTTCTCGTTCGGATCGTGGATTTTTTCAACCCACTTTGGAATCGCCCTCATCTCTGGCACCTATTCGATGAATTAGAATCCCACTCGATGCACCAATTCCGTTCAAAATTGCCAGCAAATCAATGGCATCGAATCCATGAGACCGTGCCAAAACAAACCACCATTGACGACTCTTTTACAACTGTTTCACGATTTGTACTGTTATTCGTCGGACGCTCATCGCCCGCTTTTAGTCTTCCTGGTATTGGTTGTCCGACGTTCGGAATGGATGAACCAGTCTGGCACACACACACCATTATGTATTGATTCATGTATAAGCTCAAGATGTAAACAACATGCACACGAGCTGTTTGATGTTGGTGCGTCCGCGTGGGTACAAATACAACAAGGCGTTTTTCATTCATTGAAATCAATGCATGAATGAGAATGAACACGACGGGCCAACCACAATGCAGGATAATTATAAGTGGATTCAATCAACTTGAGCCCAGGAACAGGATCATCTGTAACATATAACAACGAATGGTGCATTTATTTGGAATCAATAACATCACGTTGATTCGTATTCATTAAACTGAGAACAAATTATGATGTTTGAACCAGGGCAGTCGGAGTCGGAGTCGGACACGTTTTTTGGCCAAAGGGAGTAGGAGTCTGATTCGTTAAATTCCACATGATTTTCATGTGTCCACACATAAATAGAATCCACTTAGAAGTACACATGAAATTTATGAGTCAAATGAATAGTATGTGTGGTTACACATGAATTTTAAACATAAGAACTATGTGTCCGAGACATATATAATTTGCTTATCACATTGCAAAAAATCATGTGTGGGACACATAAATATAATCATTGAAATTTTAATAGGAATCCGGCAAGAACAAAAGTTCATAAGGCTCGACTTATGAACGACATATATGAATTTCACAAACGTGACATGGCTCATACAAATTTTACAATTTTTGTATGGAGGGGGAGAGTCGAGGGACAAGAATCACAAAAAACTGTCTACGTAGTTAATGGTCGATCCGGCATTAGCGAATACTAGTAACCTTACGGAATTTGAGCTAATTTTTTTTAGTGGACTACAGGTTGCAGCCAAGGAGGTGGTACGCCTATCTCTACTAATAACAAGTAGTCATAGCGAGCATAGTCGCGGGCCCACGCTCTGGGCCCGCTTAGATAGATATGTGATCACGTTTTTATGCTGGCTACTAAAAGAAGGCGGTGTGTCAGGCCCTTGGTTGCAGCCCTTTTGGGGCTCATTTGTCAAGGCCTGCTCTATCCAATAAATCCACTACTCGAACGCCAGAAGAGATAACCAATGGTGGTCGAATAGGCACTGCTAACACATTTGAGTAGGGACCTATTGGGAAAGCATGTTAGTATAACGATTATGTGAACTTACTAATGAATTCTGGGCTTACTTGTGTTGCTGAATCATCATCGGTTGACTGGGCATGCTTTGCACAGAAAAAAAATTCTGAATTTTAACTATCGCGTAAAATCTTATCCGTTTAATGTTGAGCTACAGTTGGCATAAACAATGAAATCGTTTACAAGCTTGCATGCAATATTGCTAATTTAAGCGATATTGCGCTTAAATTTACACGAAACATCGTGTAAATTGATGCCAAATCTAGCGTTAATTTTATGTGCTCTATATCTCGCAGAAATTTACATGAATTTTTCAAACGGTGTGTGGGTTGTTATTGCTGAATCATCTGTTGGCTGGGGATGCTTTGTGGGTTGTCATTGTCGTTGCCTCGGACCGACCTCGTCATCAGAATCGGTTCCTCTCATGATGGGGTCCTCATCACTAAATCCGAGGAGGTATGATGGAACTAGGTCTTCTGAATCACTCTCCCAGTTCGAGTCGCTGCTTGTCTCAAATTCCGACTCCACCATGCTACTATACAGGTTTTTAGTGGTTTGTTTGAATATTAACTGGATTATTTATATATTGTTATTGTTATTGTGCCATGCTGGAGGGGTTATTGAGCCTGGTCACCAGTGTAATGTTGATGACCAATTATACACCTTTCATGCAGCAATCAAATAGATAAAGATGGCTCTTAGATAATGACTTATGCGAGTCGATTGAAATCAGCCGAATACTAAATGAGGGTTAAGTTGGTCCTTAACATAGAAGCGTAGATGCATGCATAGGTGAAGGATAAGAGAAAGGAGAGGCAAAGGTGTTGAAATGCAGAATTAGATGTCGTCGATATTGAATAAGTATGTTTAAATATCGTTGATCCAGGTATCTATCGTATAAATTTGAATATCATTTAGTTATAATTATTGTCAACAATACTTACATTTTGATGAAGATGGTACTACCTATTTTACCTCTTTTTATTGTGATCCCAACTAACAATTTTCGCAATGTAAACGCTTTACTCATTTCATTTATACAGCCTCAAGCTGTATTCAAATGTTATACGATATGAGGAAACCTTTACTCAACCTCTATACAAGCAAATTTGGCGAACTTAGTCAACTACTTATGGCAACTGTGACGGTTGGGACAATCTCTTATAGCATATCTATTTACGCTTCTATATAGCTGTTATCCTACTGTTTAGTTGTGTGTGAACTTGAAAGGCGCTTACTCAACCTTTACCCGATTATCCAATAATCTCTACACAGCTTTCTCTTGACGCCAGGTTAAATATTGCTTACCCTTTTTTTAGGAATGTATCATGTTAATTTTACTGCGAATACATAAATTAATCGAAATTACTGAACTTGAAAGGCGCTTACTCAACAACACCACCAAATTATTTTCACTGTACCGGAAATTGGAATCGAACTCGAGACGACCGCATTGGCGAACCTTGATACTACCAACTTTGCTACGTCAACACTTTGAATTTTGCATGCCCTTCTACAACAAGATTGCTGAGTAGCGGCTTTATAATAGTGCATATGAATCACTTTTCTTGACTAGTTAATTCAGCTTTGTAAAGAAGCAGAGTAAAAACTGTAAAACTGCACAATAGACTGATGCAAAATTTGAAATTTTCGCTGATTAGCCACCGAAAGTTTAAACTAATTTGATGAGAAACTGACTTGGCACAAACCATTTGAAGTTTATATAAAAATTACTAACGGAAAATAAAACTTTTTGTTCATTGTCTTCTAGCCTTTTTACATATTGTACTGTTCAAAAATTCTATAGCTATTCTAATGGAACATTTTCTCAGCTACAACTTTGCGCAATATTGGTTTTTAGCCAATCATCAAATTAAATAGTTATGAATTGTTTAAGAGATTGATAATCTTATGGCAAGATAAAACAACTGTATTGTGGGCAACACTGTATTCTACAGTGTGACATAGTACACCGAAAATAGTTTTCATATAGCTTCAATTGGAAACGCAAATGATTTTCATCCATAAACAAAATTAATGGAATTCATCTGAATTTCACATAACATTTATGCGATCACGTTAATTTTATATGATTTTTCATATGAATTTCATCGGCCTCATAATATTCATGTGATTTTGTGGTGGGATTTTTAGCTATGTGGTCACATGAAAGCTATGTGAAATTCACATGGTTTTCATCCATTAGATATGTGATAAATTTTTTGAGTGTAGCCATGATTTTTGTCCTCTATTATACGCGTCATAAACACCAATGTTGCCTGCTGAACAGTTGATTGAGCATAATCATAAGACACCAGTGACTTGAATCATTAATAATCTTTGTTTATTACATTTGATCGAAAAGTGGTCTTGAACAAAGTTGTAGCTGAGAAAATTTTCAACAAGCTAAGCTAGCATTTTCTAAAGTAGAGTGAACTGGTGAATTTTGAGATAGATATGAACCGAAATTATGGTTTCCCCATAGTAATTAAATGAGTTCTAATTTTGGGAGGCTAATCAGAGCCCAATTTGGAACAGTTTGAGCACTGTGGAGCGAAAATTTCAAATTTTGCATCAGTCTACTGCACAAGTCTAAAAATAAACCCAATTGACTGTAAAATAGCTTCCGAAGTAACGCTAACACAGTTTATTAGTTGAGTAAAGGTTGTTTAGTTGTTGAAAAGGCACTTTTGATGTTTATGTTATTCAGCAAGAGTGGTTGGTTGTGTAGCAGCCATCAAATAAGAAATATATTCGCTTTATTAGCTTTGTTTTGTAGCTAAAAGTTGAAAGTTGATTAATTTCTGTATAGAAGTGATATTAGTGTTTATTGGCTGATGTTATTCAGTGCGACTGACAAATTGAATAATGGTTGTGGAAAAGTTGAGTAAACGCTCTCCAAAACTATTTTGCTAGCTTCTGCTTGTAGCTGTATCTGCAGCTTTATTTCAGCTACTTTTCAGCACAACGCTGGAAAAGTTGGCTTATAAAGCTTAGTATACAGATCGAAGCGAAACGAAATTTGAAGCACGCGAAAAATCATGAAATTTCGCTAGCGAAAAAGGTTGTGAAAAAATGTGTGTGGAACATTTTCCAGTTTCCTTTTTTCGCAGTTTACAGTTCATGTGAAACGAAATCGATCAGTTTACACCTCCGGTGAAGTGAAAATCTGACAGATACGCTCTCCCGAAACGTCAACTTTTCGCTTAGCTGCATGCGTGAAAAAATAAAAAATAAACGTAAGCGAAAAAGATGCGATCCACAACATTAGATTTCGCTGGATCGTATATGTTTACAGTTCAAAGCGAAGTGAAAAATTTGCCAATCGCGTTTTTCACGCTGGTGAAAAATTTAGTATTTTGTATGAGATTTTCGCTTCGCTTCGATCTCTATACAGGCCTTAAAGCTGAAAATGTTAGTTGGGATACCAACCATCACAGAAACCGACTTTGAAGCATCATTAACAATACACTCGTTTTATGATTAGTAATATCAAATAACGTTACATGCAAACGAAAAAGAGATACAACCAGGATTAGTTCTCCAAAGTAATAGTTTCATCTGAATACCCAACCATCCATATCTCAGTTACATTGTCTCACTCTGAATCCACATTCCAAGCTACTTTGTGATTTATAGTTACTTTGGTACTCACATGAAATGTTGTGCAAATACCACTAGTTCGCCCAACTATGGACAGCTCAATGTTAATACCACAGACAAACAGACATAACAGTCGCAAGTTGTTCAACGAACAAGCATTTAACGGTCAATTTAAAAGTATCGTAGTTGGTAGTACC